GTTGAATGCAAAGTGCGCTTCTGCTCTGCCGCTGCGGGTTTCTTCGGGAGGAAAAAGGATCTTCGCTTCGGGACACCACCTGGTCGCGTATGAAGGAAAGAAAAAGAAAAAAAATATGAAAGAGAGAGAAAAGCATTCCAACGCGTTTGTGGGGTAGTCGTGTATAATATATATATATGCGTGTGCAGAGAGAAAAACGTGCGAGGGGGAGGTGAGGTAGGTTGTGTACATCAGCCGCAGTATGGCTGCGCACACACGTGGCTTAAAATCGCTCTGCCGGCTAGCCAATCAAGGTGGAAGGACGGCGAGCTGCTCTTGGCCAATAGAGTCGAGGGAGGTGGATCTTTTTCTTTTTTTTTTCTTTTTTTTTTTTTTTTTTTTTTTTCATAAAATTCTCGTAATAAATCTTTCGTAGTTTTACATCAAGCTCCGTTCGCTGCAGCGAGGTGTGATCAATCACTCGAAGGAAAAAGGAAGAAGAAGAGGAATGTGTAATGGAATTTTTACTTCTCAAATTTGATTCGAGTCAAGAAACCAATGATAAATAAATTTAAGGGCTTTTTCTTATTTTTACTGTAAAAATTGTGATTTTAAGTTTTTTCTCGTTCAAAATACATTAGGTCAACGATTCTGAAGTTTATTTTTTATCCGAATGCCCTGAATATTTCATCCTTGGAAAATTTATACATATTTAATTCTTGGAATCTTTGAAAAGAAAAAAAAACAATAGTATTGTTCTGAAAGGCCCTTGTGTTTTTTTCAATTTACAACAGCAGCAGTAAGTATACTCTTGGCTTACTGTAGGTAACATTATACTTTTCGTTTATCGCGGGAACTACTCAGTGTATACTTATACCATAAAAAAAAAATATTATAACGCAAGAAACGCAGAAAAACGGATCTCGACATTTACAACAGAGCACAACTTCACCTTCGACGGTATCTCACTTTTTCCTGTGTTCTACTTGCTCGTGTTTCATTTTTTTTTTCTTTGTCTTGCCGTGTACGCAGTATATGTAGCCAGCGTGTAATTTCCCGTAATTTTGGACACGTCATTACCAAGTCGTAAATGATTGAGTGCTCTTACTATACACTAAACTGTGAGGGACGATAAATTTTTACTATGTATCGTTTTTGTTCTCTCTTTTTTTTTTTTTTTTTTTTTTTTTTTTTTTTTACTGATTTAAGCAAAGTTTTTTCCGTGAAGTGCATCGATTTGGTGGTTGTATTTTTTTTTATTATAAATAATAGAATGGTTTAAACGTTTTTTACTGTGTGTGTACATGCCCAAACGAGTAAACATTTAAAGCTATTTTTTTTTTTTTTTGTTAATCGTTTTTTGCTGTTGAGGATCAATTTTTTTTTTAACTCATAAGTTTCCAGCTTACATAATAATCTATTTATCAATTTGTATGTTAATTTACTCCAGCGTTTCCACAAAGCAGATTCGTAAAGTCGTAAAAGTAATTGCATGACATTTGAATGGTTTAATAAACGTCGATTGTTAAAAATTACAAGGTAAATGAGGTACGTGAATTATTAATACATCGATGCATTTTCTAACTGCCAGCCGGAGGGTACTTGATTAATTTAAAAAAAAATTTCGTCAATTCGATGATTACTATATGATTTAAGTGGACTCGAGCTCGCGTAATGGAAACCACGTTTCCCGACTATAAGAAAAACAACACTTGCCACATCAATTTTTATAGTTAAAGGCAAGGCAACTCTGTCTCTATTTTTCTCTTTGAAACGAACGAGTATATCCCATGTTTTTATTGGAAAACCAAAACACTAATAACACGCTTTGCATCGTAATCACTAGGAAAAAGAATTAACGATTTCCAATAAACATATTTAACCCAGTCTCTTTTTACCTTTCAAATCAAATTACATCTTACTCTTTAAAACGAGTAATCATACACATACAAAGATTTAGCAATCAATCATTCGCCGAGGCTTAGCCCAAAACGACGTCTTGCGAGATAGATCAAGAAACCCATTCATAACTCTACTCGATTACCATGCAGGAATAAGAAAAAAAAATCTATAAATAATCACCTGCCCCTAACATATTTTCGCTAATAAATTCATTCGAATGAGTTAAAAAACTTTCTCAAGATTCGCGCCACTATGGTGATTCTCCTCTGTTATATTTTTAGCTCAAATGTGTCGTCGTCGCTCGCGTACATGACATCTGAAATAACATTTATGCCTCTCTCTACTCTCGTTTGCCTCGGCGATTCCGTACGTTATTTTAGCGACAACGTACAAAATCCGTGTGGGACACGTTGGATCGTGGATCATTAGCATATGTTTTTTTTTTTTCGATCGGAGTCTTGCGATCTTTTGTTGAAATTTTTCACAAAACAATCATTAAAAAAATCCTTGAAATTCCATCGAAGAGAAAAAAAAGGATGAATATCCAAGCACCTGCTGCTAAAAATCACACGTGCGCGAAAATCAATACACGATGTACATAAACCTAACGGGGGTTTATACCTAAAGGAATGCGCGGACAGAGTTACGTAAGACGTATTCCTAAAAAGGAAAAAAGAAGAGAAGGAGAAACAGTCAACGGCATCGATTAAGCCTCCCCTTCTCCGCCAGGCAAGCCTCTTAACGCAATTAGCCGAGAGAGAGAGCAACTATAATTTGCTTGTAAATTGCCTTTGAAAAAAACATTAGCGAAGCCCTATTAAAAACTCGACTCTCTACTGCCGCTGAAACTAAATCGAATATAACGACCTTTTCTTTCGTTCCTTCTCTTTAAAATATACACTTAACTCTACATTACCTCCACCGAGTGAAACGGCAAATCCGTAGAAAATAAGGACAATAGAAGAAGAAAAAAAAGAGAACAATGTATTAAAAAGTACAGTAGACTCGGGTCGTAGAGGAGGGCAATTTCCATTTGACGTCGAATTCCATTATAAAAATTTGTATTTACGTAAGAGGACAAGGAGAGGAGGGGACGAACTCTTGAACTCTCGTACACTCGCTCATGCACTTGGGTACGTGTGCGCGCGAGTACGCCTTACACTCATCGATTTAGACCAAGAGTCGAATAAGTTTCGCGGGTGGGTACATATAGGGTCGAGTGAAACCAACTAAATAATATTTCCAACGAGAGAGGGAGAGAGAGAGGGAAGTCGGTAAGAGTTTTAACGAGATGGAGAAAGAGCAGACCTCCCTTGCCCCCTCTCTCTCTCTCTCTCTCTCTCTCTCTTAAATCTAAAAAAAAAAAAAAAAAAAAAAAAAAAAAAAAAAAAAAAAANAGACGTTAAAAGTATTACTGTTTTTTTTATGCATTACCGTAAACTTATTGATGAAAATTTGAAGTAAAACCAAACGTGAACTATTTTATTTAAAAAAAAAAAAAAAAAAAAAAAAAACAAGGCTATTCTGGGACTATGGCCCTTAGCCTAATAAATCTAAATCTAAATCTCTCTCTCTCTCTATATTTGCCAAAAGAAAAATGACCTTCCTCAGCAGCTCCGGCAACACCCCTTAATTCAAATTCTTATACCTTCCCCCCAACTCGTACACGACTTTTTACTTGTGTTTCACTTCTGGTTCTTTGCTCTTTTACCTCTGCCTGCACGCTTTTTCCATTCGAGAATCATGTCACTGCAGACGCTCCTGCATTTTTTTGTTCTCGATGTATATCGTTCTATTGTCAATGGCGATGTGGAGTTTCTAAAATTTAATTGATTACGAATCGTGATGTGCTCGTTCAACGATTTTGGTTATCGGTTGATCGAAAAGTAGATTTTTCACTTGTTTTTTGATGATGATCGAATGAATTTACACATTGTACATTTAATGGTAAATTATCCATGGTTTATTTGGTTTAAGTACTTTTACTGGAACTTTGCGTGCAGGTAAGGTTTTGCGTGATATCTCGGAATTGCATTCATCGACAGTCGATTTATCATTGAACGAGAGTTTCATAGGAATAATTTTTTTTTTTCTCTTCTTTTCTTTCCATGATAAACGATAAATTGTTGTTTCTTATCCTCGAATGCTCTATTGTGATTTCGTATTATTCATTCCTCACAATAGTGCCCCGTCGACGTTTCAATGGAACGAATGTTCCGTAGAGTAGGATGAAGAAAAAAAAAAAAAAAAAGAAAGAAAGAAAAGAGTGGAAGAAAATCAAATGGATTTCATTAGTGTAAAAGCGCGTAATTTATAGAAACGCCGTTTCATTTCGCTCGAGAGTGAAGTACAGCGCAGCAGAACAATTAACAATCAGCATAGAGCTCGCATAATTAATTTCGCGATTCATTACCGAGACTCTGACGAAAGTAAAGAGAAAGGTTGGGGGGGGGGGGGTAGGAAAAGCAATCAGAGCTCTTGTTTCGTTCGCGCAGGAGCAAGAAATATAAAAAAGTTGGTAACATAGCTGGCGAGTGGTCCATCAGCCAGAGGAGGGGAAGATTCAAATTTCGAGCGGACTATTTTTCCCCCCCCATATTTCGTCCTATCAAGTTCTACTACTGGAAAACATATGTTTTCTTTATTTCCTGTTCTTTTCCAATTGGGCAGTAGAACTTTATTCGCAAAAATTCCTGTAGGATCAGTTTTACGCGCGAGTAAAAGAAGATAAAAGAGCCTCGTCGTGTATACACTTCCTCCTTTTAGTCCCCGTTCCTTTTACTTCTCCTTTCCAGATCTTCTCTTTTTTGTATTACAGTACCTTTTATATCGCGCTCAAAATCTCGTCTCATCTTTTGGATCGGCTCAGACAGTCACTAAGTGCACTTGCAGCACTTGCATCATAAATAAATAAAAAATCAAAGAAAGTCTTCTATTGTGTTAATGTTTTTTTTCCCGTGCCTTAGATTGATCAAAAACCCGAAGCAAAATGAGAATAAAAAGAAACTATACAATAGAGCTGCATTCGTCTTTTGATTAGCGAACAGTAGCAAAACTATTTATGCTCTTAATTGCTCAAGACAAAAGGTATTTGAAACTTTGCGTTCTTTTTGTTGCAGACGTTTCACACGCCCAGTTTCGGGGACGAGGACTTTGACATACCCGCGATGCATCCGCACCAGCAACAACAGCACCAACAGAGCCAGCAGCAGCATCACCAGCAACAACAGCAGGCGCCGCCACCTCAGCAGCAGCACGATCCCATGCATCACGGATACCAGTCACAGGTACATATACGTGTATGTACATTTTCTCTGCATAATTGTACCTTAGGTACATCGATGTGTTTGTACATTTTTTCCGCCATCAAAGTAGCTTCTCTCATTTTTATTCGACTATTGTCTAGCGGGCGGGTAACGAGCCAAGTGTTTCTTTATGTGTTTGTCGCCCTATCTCCAGAGTATCTGACGACGTGACTCAAGACCGAGGACTTGCTTATGAAATCTCGACGATCTTTCTTGGGAGAATTAGGAATACACATGTGACAGCTTTGAAAAGTCTCGGTGTTGTTTGCACTCGCTATTTCTCGGCATATGCACGTTGTTTGATCTCTTTTTAGTTATTTACGTGAAAAGATTGCTTGGATTGTCTTACCCGATGCCGTTTCTTCCTCTTTTCATTCTTGCGACCTGTGAATGAAATCCAAATTTATCTCGAGAGAGATGATGTGCAGCAACGTATTCACGGAATCTATTTTCGGAGAGAACTTCGTCTCGACACTCTCTTTTATCGAATTCATCCAAGATATTGTTGGTGGCACACGGTAACGAAAGTGGAATCAATCTGCCGATTCATCCGATGGAAAAAGTTTGTAACGAGGTTGCAGCTTATCTAGCTTTTTTTCTTTAGAAAGTTTATACTTGGAAAGCTTATGAATATACGGTGGAGACGACTGTTATTATCGATACGTATCAGAAGATTTTTCGCTCGATATATACGCACATGCGTAATATTTGTAACATAATTATATTGAATCGAAAGATGTTAAGTTGTACGTTGAAAACAAAAACAACAATTGTAAAAAAAGAAACTCGAAAAAAAACAACAAAAGTAATTGACTCAGCGTATCGGCTGTGTCCTCAAAGTAAATCACTAGACGAGCCTCGTAAATCGCGGCGCTCCCATCGACGTCACGCAAACAGAAGGAGCTCGTATAATTAAAGCTGAGAATAAACAATTTAATTTTACATCGAAATAAAAAGGTTGGCGATTGAACTGACACTAATTATTATTCAAACGAAACATATCGCATCTGAGGACACGCTTATCATCAAACTTTTCCAACAGTGTCATCTTCTAACTTGGAGCGATAACACCATTATACTTATACATGAACTCTCCTCATTATGATCGAACAGTTTCCTATTTTGATAGAGTCGAAATTGAATATCGCGTATAACAACGTAACTCGGTATAATATAAGTATAGTTGGATACCTATTTGGATCATCTCTTTCGGCTCTACCTCCGGTGACTACTTTTGAGGCCATCTCGTTTCCTGTAAGCGCAAACAGAGGAATCTTGGAGTTGCTCTATTCTGCATCTCACTTGTTTCGTTATTACATACGCATCCTTGCTCTCGGTGCATTGTATCTCACCGATCGATTTGCGTACCCAAAACAGGTGCAGGAAATTTCGTGTATATCCTGCCATCCGTACCGCGTTCACCCTTTTTCTTTATTTCTCAACTACGCGAACTTACGTAAAAGCCTCGTTGACTGACGTTCATTACCGATTTTTCTTCTTCTTAATGAGTATACGTGATTGTACAGCTAGAGTTGACACGCAATCCTTGGATCTAGCGATAAAAGTTAACACCGCACGCAAACGAGGGAGCTTTCAACTTGACAAATATGAAAACAAAAAGTCAGCCTTGAACGCCTTGATTGCTTGAAAAAAACGTTTAAGGCAAACATCGTAACATTTCGTAACGCGACGCTCTCTGCGCTCAAGGCCCGCGTTTACGTGAAAATACATCTAATGTACATCCACTCGCGTTTATGGGCGGAGATGTCTGTTTAGTGCATGTAGGTATGTATACATTACGTGTACGTAATTAACGCGATAACAAAAGTAGTATATACCCAAGTAGTAGGGACTTGATATCTGAAATGTGTTATTTTCGAGAAGCGAAACAATGGGCTTATCTCTCTCTGCTTAGGATGTGGATGTGTAGTCCTTCGTGTTGGTGAAAAAGGGAAAAATCGTGTACGTGTTTGTTTCTCCCTCTCCTTGACTCGCGTGATGAATCGGAGCAATTGCTACGGCATGACGCGTTAACTGGCGAGTCATAGACGGCACAGCACGCGTTCGCGAGCTCCAGGACGACGGGGCACTTTTGCGATGGAGTTTTTTAATTTTTATTTTATTTCTCAATGAGCACTTGATTAATCGACGTTTTACTGCTATCGCGGATGAATTTATCAATCTTCGCGATTACTCGGTTTTTGTTATTATTTACAGCTGATTATGGCCCTGCCCGGGTTTTATCCCACTGATGTGAATTTCATTTGTTTATCTCGTAATTTTAACGCTTCATCAAAATCAAATCATGTTTTGAAAAACTTGGGGAGCGATGGCATTGCTTTAAAGGCGCATCTTATTTAATTACGCGTATACCTTGTCAAAACGAGCGATGTTTTCCAATTTGTTTTTTTTTTTTTTTTTTTTTTTTTTTTCATTGAAATTTGGAATTCCTCGCTTGATTATCGTCACGCGTATAAATACCTTCGTGTTAACCGTTTCGTTGCACAACGAAGAACTTGCCGTTATGTGAATATCAATTTACTTCGACTCTATACTTATTGAATGATTTTGCAATAAAGCGTCTCGAAAAACTAAAGTTGTGCACGTTCGTGTACTACGAAAATAAAGCAACTATCGCGTGCGCCAAAGTTAACGTCTGCAGGAACGTGATCGCTGTTGAGAAAGAAAAAAAAAAAAAAACTTCAAGTACATGATGAATTCGCGATCAGCTGCTGTTTTTATGAAATTATTCGTGTTACAAGTGCATTTAACACATAGGTATGGCTAGTAAAAGAGTTTGATGTCCTTCGTCGTTTTAGTGTATGTTTCGACGTTTTTATGCATGCATGGGTATATGTATAATGCACGTTTCATTACCTTTTCTCGCACGTGACGGAGAGGCCATTGATTGCATTGGCTATTTATGCACATGTATTTCTCAGGAGGCAATTAAACGACTCAAACAAGATGAATAGGCTCCTTTCTTTTGCTTCTTGGTAAAATGCACAATAATTAACGGCGTAAAAAAATACACGCCGACGTGTTTGTATACATATACATATTACGTCTTTCAAAGTGATTCTCCGTTTTGAATAAATTTTTACTTAGCTCAAACTGTTTAACATTTCAGTTGAACCGTATACAGGCGTGTGCAACAAATATTATTTTACGAGGGGGAAAAAAAGGTATACAAAGAAATAGAAGAGGAGGAGCCGAATGGAAACAATCTTTTTTTTTCTTCAAACGTAAAATCCCCCGATCGGCGTCTAACAGCACTTCGTAACTCCGTAATACCCCACCATTATCCGTCATTGTATTTTTTTTTCCCTTTTTTCCACGAGCTTTACATTACTCAACCCATTTCCTGCTCGCGTGGAAAAACAGCGTATACAGCGATTACTCGAATTAAAATTTTTTTTCCTTTTTAACTTTCAAATTCTGTAAATGCCTCTTGTATGGGTACACGAATAAAATTACCAGGTGGGGAACAAAGAGCTTTCAAATGTATTCCAAATGAAAGGAAATTGGTGTGAAGCTATATGCACCTTACGTGTTATGTATGAGTAAACTGAAAAAAAAAAAAAAAAAGGTTCCTCAGATCTAAAAACAATGCATGTGTGTTTATTTTTGTTGCAGATGATGTCGGGCCCCGGTATGCAGCAGTCACCTGATGGCCTGAGCCTCGATCCCGGCGGTTACCAGCAGCCCCTCTATCTCCAGCAGGAACATCCCATGCAGTCGATCAATGTCAGGTACGTCACTACCATACACTACTTTTCCCCTTCTCCCTTCCCTTGCCTTTCTTTTTTTCCCCTCCATTTCTTCGAAGCGATAATTATTTAGCGCACTGACCCCCACCTCCCCCTCCCCCGGTTTGCATTTTAACTCGCGGTAGAAACAAATTTACGACGCGCATTCGAGTAATGCTTAATAATTTCGCCTGACATAATTTGTTTAATAACAGACTGCTCCGCCGAGCCGAGGCGTAATTTTTGCCCTTCAAAACTTTGTTCTTTCTCTCTCTCCCTTGCTCCGCTGAATTAATAATAAAATGGCGAGAATTATCGTACCGAGTAATTACACCACGCGTCTTTTAAAATGAAAAATTTAAAATTTATTTATTTACACCGCGCACGCGTTACAATTTCCTTGGACGTTTCGCTTCTGATCCAACGCTTGGTCGACCGATGAGTTACGCAGCTGGTTCGCGATGAAAAAGTTTGCATCGATGCGTCACTCCGCAAAGTTCGATTCGACGCCCACATACCTCGTTCCACTTTTCGTACACGGAGAAAATATGATGTTTTTACATTTACCAGAAAACCCCCAAAAGTCCGAAGGACTATAGAGCAAAAATGTTGTTTTTTCCGCCGCCACTTTGACAAATCCCCTTGGCGGTACATCACGCACGCGTACTTTTCCGCGATAATTCACGTCGCGCGCCATCACAATAAAGTTGCATTAACACTCGGCCGAACGGAAAATTTCTCTCTACGTATAACTAAAAAGTAATAGTAAAAAAAAAAAAAAAAGAAACATTTCTCACTCTCACGAGTGCGCGCGTTAAGTGTACTTTATTTCCGTACATATTTTAAAAACAGCTGACTCGCGCGCAAAGGAGTATAAATTTGACTTTAATGGCGCCGCCAGTGACAGGCGAATGGGAGGGTGGCACGACTTTTAACTTTGAAACACACTCCTTTTTCGTTCGTGAAAACGTATATCACGCCGAGCGATACAATAATATCGCACACTCCTCGACCCGTGACAAAGGAGAGTACGATCGCTTTTTTTTTTTTTTTTAAATGACGGGAGTATCGGTAACTTGTACAATTTCAACTTTTTCCATAAACAGTTTTAATATTTTTATTACACATGCGGGGTAGCGATGGATAGATGTAAAAAAAAAACGTAGGTTAGAGTAAGGACGAGGTGGGATTTATCGCTCGTTCAAATTAAATTCGAGAGATGCCGGCGAATAAAAGACGAGGGCGAGACGGGGGATGATGCAGCTCAGAAATGGCCCGTAAATCGTGACGGGCGACGCTGACGCTGCACCACCGGCCGTATCTCATAAGTTATCCAATTTGCGTTAAAATAACGCTTACGTATACATGCATCGGCCACTTATCCATAAGGAGAAAATACACGGAGGAACTGGTAATTTCACTCCTTTTTTTTTCCACGAGAGCGTACACACGCATATTTATTTCCACTCGTACTCACAGAGATTCCCATTTTGTCGAATGTAACAGCTGGGCGCAAAAAGTAATGCACGAACGTTCATCTCACAGCTCGACATTGACCTTTTGTCTTACATATATATGTGTTTATGAGCTATTTTCTCTTGCCAACAAAATACGAGACAAAATATGTGCGGATCAATGTTTTTGCTACTTTTGTTGCTACTACTTAATCGTTTACGCGTGATTCCATTTTCGCAATTTCACCTCTTCCACACACGAATATCACACGTATGGACATTTGTATATTTTCACGGCAGGGCAAATCGTTAATGTCACGGGATCGAAATTTTCTCCTCGATTTATTATTCAGCCGAGGTTTTCGATCGAATAACGCAGTGGCCACGCGTACGAAACTTATTAACTGCATTTCGAAATTATTATCATTATGATCATCATCAGCAGGCGCTCGAGGGTGTATCGGTATATTATTATCATCATCATCCTTGGACTCTCGGTGGGATTTAATTATTAATTTTCCAGTTTCGCAAATGACGAATCACACGAGGGATAGAGATGAGTCACGGAAAAACGTAATATGCAGTGTTCGCCGTAATAATACAATACGCCAGAGACGGAAATGGAATTATACCGCTGCATTAGCTGTACATCAGCAGATGTAATTACTTATCGTCCAATCGTTGTACCCGAGAATAAAATAGCAATCTTTGAAATGAGAATGAAAATAACACGTTGCGTTATCTCCCTCGTCTCTATTTTACAAGTGTCCAGCCGTGATAAGTATGTTGTTGAATCACAAGCTCGACAAGCCGGAAACTCGGGTGTAGTGAGGAATATTTAATGACGCTTTGTATGCACGTCGACTGTTTTTACAATAAGCACAAAGCACTTCCCTTTTTCTCGCGTCGTTCCATTATCAATATTTTTTCAACCGACGCAAAACAAAGAAGCCTCGCAAGACAAATACTCCCGACCTAATGCTCTCCTTGTACACCTACTTTGATACCGCGAACGGAGTCAAACTCATGATTTCAACATAAAATACGTAAATATTTTGCCAACAATGACATTTCTTACGCTTAAGTAATGTATGGATGGCAAATTGATCGTCCCTTCTCCTTGCCCCGCACCCTTGATTTTATACATGATACTTACTCGTCAAATTCACGTTTTTCATTCAGCCTCTGTTATTTTTATTGTTTGGCTCTCAAAGAGACCTTCTTCAAACAGTGGAAATGCAAATAACATAAACAATTATAATCTTTTTGTCAAAATGACAGCTTAACAGTCAGGCAAAGGGACGAGACCTTTTCCTCCCTCGAATATTAAAATCAAATGAAAGTTGAAAAGATGAAAAAATAATAATAATGTCTCAAATTTTGGATTTCAGTTCGGCATACAGTAGTCCTCAGAGCTCCTACACAACGATGACTTCACCGAACCAGCAGCACAACAGCCAGCAGCAGCAAATGCTCCTTATGCAGCAGCAGCAGCAGCAGCAACAACAGACCCAACACATGCAGCACATGCAGTACCTGCACTCGCAACAGCAGCAGCAACAACAACAGCAACACCTGCAACAGCAGCAGCAACAGCAGCTGCAGTACAGAAGCCCAGCTGGAGGCAGCCCGCCGGCGATGCAGCAGACTGTCCTCCCGGAAAACACGACGACTAGCGAGGACAGCGACGATAGCACGCCTCACTCGGCCATGGTCAGTACATTTTTTTTCCCTTCTTTTTTTTTTTAATGACAAAATAGAGATCTCTTTTGCCAACCTTTCCGTCTTCTTTTTTTTTTCTTCCCTCAACTTTCATTGTTTGTTTATACATAGTTTGATTAAAAGTTTTTGGTTAAACGACTATTTTTTTTTTTTTTTACTATAAGGTGAACTGTATCAACGGTGTTTTCAGAAAAAAGTTTAACTCCTGCAACCAAAGTGAGGTATTTTACATAATTAACAAAACACCTCGTGTCTTTATCAAATATTTATTTTTTTTTGTTCTCTGTATAACCTCAACGATATACTTCATCATATAATTTATACTGTAATGTATCAATCACCATTTGCTACGTGTAACATTACCATATAAATGTGAAATGAAAATTTAATTTAATCGAGTCGATAATTGGGTCTATAAATTTTAAATTCCAGTCTTTTTACGTCAAAAGCAAAATTCGCGAAAAATGCAGCCTCCTCTTCGGCCCCCTCTTTCACATCACCTTTTTTTGCTGAAATTTTTTTCATACAATATAAAATTTCAAATTGCCGGTAATAAGAGGCCTTATGCATTATTTATAACTTGAGACTCGATCCAAATTTTTAAAACATTTTCTTCTATTCGGAAAAAAGAACCATTTAGAAGCACACAAGCGAGCAATGCGTTCCCATGCAAGTGTGAATTTTCTTTTTCCGGCCGGTAGGATAAAAATAGACGCCGATAAGACGGTAAAAAAAGCTGCTCTATACGCTAATGTAAAACCATTTATCTGCGCAACGTGTGAATACGTGCGACTCGCGTTTCCCGTGAATATTGAAGGAATGCATTGGAAAAGTGCCTTCGGAGTACCAAAAAGTTGCACCAATGTACCTGCATGTTGTTCTATTTTTTAAGGTCACGCAGTTACTAGTTTTCCTTTCCGACCGGACGTGCTTTATTTTTTCTCTCTCTCTCTCTCAATTCGATCGCCAGCTTTCACTTTTAAAATCTGTTTTCATCATCTCTCGAACGGATCTCGAAAGTTAAAACTGATTTTGCTGACGCCAATACTCCGAGTGACTCTTTTATAACATTTACACACGGATGAAATGTATATATATACGCTATTATTACTTATACGTATATATTATTCTTTCATTCTTTGGCCGCTTTGTAGCTTTAACGCATCACTTTGAAATGAAAACAAGGCTATCGATCCGATGTTTACACGTATATAGGAGAATCAGCGCCTTTCGCCGTGGAAGTGTATCCATTCGACATTTATTTATAGCACTTTTGAAATAGATTTTTATCCACACCTCCGGTTTTTTTTTCATCTTTCTTTCCCGTGAAACGTGCTTGTATCAATCTCGCGCGGCTATCGCGTATTTTCGCTTTTATCTCGGCAGTAAATTTCAATTAAAATAAGTAACGTCATTTATCGGGACTAAAAGTCTTGCAGTTTTTTTTTTTTACTCACCCGTGAGAGAGAAAAGCCACTTATCCCGATTAGATGCATAATATCCCTCCTCGTGCATTTTATGGTTGTTAAGACACGGGCAATTAAAGCGATTATTCCTCTCTCGTTTATTTTTATTTTTATTTTTTCCAAACAAAAGGAGGAAAAAAAAAAGAAGAAGAAGAAAGATAGGAAGGAAGGCATAAAACTTTATTATCGCACGTACATTATGTTGGTACATGCGAGTGGAGTGGCGAGTTATATTATATCAATAATCCGTTTGATTTGCATGTTGGTTGTGTTACAGATAACGGGTATCAAGAGACCCTCTCCAGAGCCGGCAGACACGATGAGCAAGGCGCAAAAGAAACCAAAGGCCCAGAAAAAGAAAAAGAAGCGGGATCCCAACGAGCCGCAAAAGTAAGCTGTTTACCAACCCATCATCTAACAAAAAAAAAAAAAAAAAAAAAAAAACTTCAAGTACATGATGAATTCGCGATCAGCTGCTGTTTTTATGAAATTATTCGTGTTACAAGTGCATTTAACACATAGGTATGGCTAGTAAAAGAGTTTGATGTCCTTCGTCGTTTTAGTGTATGTTTCGACGTTNCTAACAAAAAAAAAAAAAAAAAAAAAAAAAAAAATTACACATATCCAACCTCCCAAATTACTTCGATCTGATCTCATTTCTCTGGCGGATATAATTAGATGCTGGGCTGCATTATAATTCACAAAAAGCCTCGACCTCCTCCCCTTTCGTGTATCGTCTTTTTCTTTTTGTTTACGTCGAGCTTAAAGAGCCATTTAACCCTCCACAGCCCACGCATATAATTTCCGACTGATGCGCACACACGTACACCCACCCACGATTACCTTATGATTCAACCTATAACCAAGTCCTCCCCTACCTCCCTTTTTCTTTTTATCACAACATTTTACTTGATTTTTTTTTTTTTCACGTTTATATAGAACCTCCAGACCCTTAGTTACTCGACAACGCGGGAACCTGCCGAATGTTAATAGCCAATTGATCGGCGCTGCGAGAGATACACGTGTATTACGTATATGCAAAGCTCTCGCGCGTACAAGCGTAATTATTAGTTTAATGACGCCCAATGGGCTTGTTGGTGCGAGCCGATTCGGCAAAGTCACACAGCAGTTTAACTCTCCCATGTATCGGCGTCCTGGTAATTGGACCGTAAATGGACTGCGATATCTCCCCCTCCACCTCTCCATGGAGCCGTGATGAGTCGGTTGTCGTTGTACATACAATAGCTGTGCAAGAAGTAACACTGTTGATCGAAAAAAGCAAAATAAAGTAGTTTTACCGGGCCAAGGGATTTTGGTATTTTTCTTCGGCTGAAATGAAAACCTTTTACGGAAAAACCGGGAATCCTCGAGAGAGTCACGAGAAATCGGCGCGTTCTTTCATCCCATCCCGGAATGAGTATACATTTCAAATTACTCTCGCCGAATCCGTTTTCCCGCGCGGGTCCGCGTAATCGAGTCATTTCACCTTTGTCCCTCGTTTCTTTTTCCATTTGCTCCTACGATTTTTCGTCTCCTCGTTTTTCTCTACTACATAAAAACTATGGGTTCTCGAGGAGTCAACCTTCGGTGCACTTACGGTACCGACCATCGTCTCTCGGAGCCGCGCCATAATTAGCTAATCACTCAACGAGACACATTATAATAACATGCATATTGATCGTGGAACTAGTTTTTTTTTTTTTTTCCTTCCTCCAATCCCGAAAGATTTGGCTGGCGCTGCAAAATTTATGAAAGCCATTCAGCGTAATGGGCCCATTGTGACTAGGCAACTATTGGGTCACATCCCTCCTTCTCTCTTGGCAAGAGTCGCGAAAACTGTTATATCACCTTGAGGTATTCTTCTCCTCGGGAGCTCGTAAATTGAAGGGGAGAGAACGAGTTTGCAACATTAGGCGATTGTTCCGCGATGCAAATTGAAAGTTCTCATTTAAATAGCTCTCTGTATATTGATAAATAAAAAAGAAAAAAGGAAAAAGAACACATTTCGAGCTCCCATCGGTGTGGCTCTTACGGAACGATCGTACACTACGACAACGCCACCATCCACATTATAATACACGTAAACTCATCGCAAGTGTACCTACACCGTTCGGTTGCTTTTTCCCCCACTTGGATTAAATGACGGGAGGGAAAAAAAAAAAATGTCAAAAAATTTATTCGATCACTCCAATCTCCGATCTTCCATTGTGTACACTATCTCTTGTCATCTCTGTTGAGCTGTTGAGAGCACTAATACTACCACCGCAATCACCACAATAACCATACCCAATGCCACAGTCCTCTCTTTCTCGTATCGTTTGTTTTCGCGCACTGCCCGTCCACCCATATATGTACAGAAGAGAAAATGGAATGAGGGAGTGAGGGCTGCCGGAGTTATGACCTCTGTGAATTGGCAATTACCGTTATTGTCGTTGCGCCTTGTATATAAGCACGTGAGAGACAACAACAACAACAACAACAACAACAACGACGTCCAGTCGTACAACGAGAAAGGACTCATTGTATCGTTCTCGACAAGCATCTCGTGTATAATACACATGTATCATCGTTGTATATACCCACGCTTGGTATGTGCAACGCGCGCGTGCTCTTTCGTCGCTTCGTCCTGGACCCTCGGGGCACACACACGCTGGTAATGTAACGATGCTGCAACAGTTAACGCGCTCGTGGCTGCTGTTTAGCGGGATTAGAGATGGCTGCAGAGCGCCTCGATAAATCTCATCGCGATCCGGGTCGAACAAAAGGGCTAATACCATGTGTCGCTTCGGCTGCTGTTGATCGAATCGAGCGAGAAAGACTCGATTTACGAGATGTTTGCGTCGGTGCGCTGCATGAATCGTTTTTTTTGTCTCAATCGACAGATTTTTCCAGTTCGATTGAAGCGACGATTAGCTCGTTGTATAGTTCACGTGCATCAAAGTACTTTTTTTTTTCTTTCCGAACAAGCCGATTTTCGAGGACTTGCATTCTCGTTGTCTGTTCGGAAAATAACCCAAAAATTGTCGTGCCTTTGACACGTGTAGTAAGGCCTCTGTTGTACGCGTTGTACATTTCTCCGTCATTGTTGCTCAGTCGATACGGAGAATAATGAAGAGGGGAAAAAAGTCGCGAATGGGCACTTTCTCGGCTGCGCAGTGTCAACATTCATTCGCTCCCGCAAATCCATTTTCGTGTAGCTGTAAGGTCTCCCGCGCGCCGCGTCTCGTTATGATTTCCCGAGTCTGGCAGGTCTGCCGAGTTTGTCCCGTCGCGGAAAAAAAAAAACCTCGCTGTGGATCGATCGCGAGCACTTATCACCCCCCCCCCTTCTTCATTCGTTTAGTGCGAGGTACACGGACGACGAGCCAATTTGATTACTGGTTGGAATAATAACTCCTCTGGGCTTTTTTCTCCCGCGCCCGGCTATTTTTTATTTCGGTGCCTTGTCAAGCACGTCGTTGATGTTGTACTTTGATGTTTATTGTTGTTGTTGCTGTTGTAAATCATTAGTTGGTAGGGATTTTTTTAATAGTGAAAAATGACTGAAGGGTCTCGTAATGTTGTTGCCGAGTGCATACGTAAAGAGGGAATGAAGAAAAAACTAGATACTTGGACGAAATGTCCTTTCGAGCAACTTGACCTTCTCCTTCTTTCGTGCGCGTTTTCATTTCTTTCTTTGACTTCAATTAAGGCTCCTTAAAAAAACACAATTAGTGCACAATTATTAATATTTCTTTTGCTCTCTCTTTTTTCAACCCCCGTGCCTTTTTTTCCCATTTCTCAATTTTCAGCGAGTGGTACGTGAAAAGGCAACCCGAAGTGGAAGAGAAAAAGCCGTAGGGCTGAGAGACTTTTTAATTTGCGTCATTCAAAGTTGGCTTAACGAACGTATTTTTTTTTTCCCCCAATTTGTATCTAACGATATTTCCCGCACTCCGTCGAGTAGAAGATGAAAGACTCAATTGTGTTTGGATTTGCAAAAATAAACGGCCAAACTTTTTCCTAATTGACTTAATTAAACGATGGAAAGGCCAACTCTCCACTATGTTTATGAATAAATAAATAAAACCTGATGCCTCCGAGTGCAGTGTTTGTCATTTAATTTAACGCAAAGTGTTGGGCAGTAAAACAACGTCACTGGCGTTTTTCAGCGCGCTAATTGAAAGTGGGGAAAAAAAAAAGAAAATGTCCATACCAAAAGCATCTCTCTTTCCCACGCATTTCCATAAAAACTATAGCATTGTTGCGCGATGACAAAAACACGTTGTTACATGTATCTGCGTTCTCTCGAATTTCAGGCCAGTATCGGCGTACGCCCTCTTCTTCAGGGATACCCAAGCAGCCATCAAAAGTCAAAACTCGAACGCCAGCTTCGGCGAAGTTTCGAAGATCGTCGCCTCGATGTGGGACGCCCTCGATACGGAGCACAAGGACGTGAGTACACACTTACATTTCACATCATCCTATGTATATATAATATTATATGCCCCTCGATATTTTTTACTTTTCCATATACCCATCCCACAAACACACGTACAATGTACGGACAGCTGCACTTGATTTTATTGAGCTATCTTTTATTTAACATTTGATGAGCAGCAGTTGCCTCGTAGACTATATCGTCCTAGCCCATTGACGGTCGATCGATTACTCATTCGAAGGGCCGGTACGGTAAATCGTCTTGCTGAAGAAAGAGATCGATGGTACTCGAGCTCGTTATGGAACAAAGAGAACGGCACTTTGGGAGTATTATTGATACGCATAGGTCATTCGGAAAGAAAGCAATAATCATGTAACGATACATTTCTCTGTTGCGTCGATAATGAATCACGACTTGTGCAACAAGTGTTGAAGTATTTTTAAATTAAACAAAAAAAAAGAAACAGCATCCCCCTGTCTTTGTTACTCATCGGGCAACGGTACAACAGTCTCGCGGATTACTCACGCACGTTATTTGTTTAAAAATCACACAAGGCCAACGCTCCCCGTGCACTCGCGTGACGCGAGTAATTTTCATAATATATATGCATGTTTACAAATAAGTATGAACTTCGATAGCCCCTGTACTCAACGTAAACTTATACATACCCGCGTAAATTCCTCCTTTCAACTTCCTCTCGCGTATCGTTTCATCCGGCTCGTGTTTATGTATTATCGCGCAAAGTGCTCCTTAACTATCGTTTGCCTGATAAGTACACACACCGAATCGAGTGTTGAAGGCATATTCCCCCAAAGCCGGGGTTTGAGTTGGCTTTTTAAACGCAAGCGTTTTTTCTTTCGCGCGGGTCTTCTTTTATTCCAATATAGAGTAAACATAGGTGTTTGCCGGTAAGGCAGGGGAGAGATGGTCATTAGCTTGCCTCATTCCCGCGCAGAGGGGCCGATTTTTGTCCCGCCGTCGATTACGCGTAACAAAAAAACGACCTCTGGATCGCGATAGAACGCGATATTAGGCGTCATGTGTATTTGAAGGCTGATTTACTTCTCCGGTCTCGAGAGATGAAGTGCCACGAACATTTGTCTGAAAATTCAAAGGCCCTGCCTCGGTTAGCTTTCCGCCACCGCGTCTGGGAAATCATGGAATTTCGAATATAACCACCTCGCCTTACTCGTCCCCTTTTTTATGTACTTCTATGTATACGTTAAAAAGTTATTTGACGTGATTTATAATATGTACTGTAATGTTGTTCACAACTTACAGTGTTGAAAGGTCGTCAGAGTAGATAAACTCCACTTACGATTTTTCTCCTACTTTTCAATACCTCGTTCACGTCCCTTTTTCATCGTCCCCTTGCAGTATTTTTCAACATTTCCATTTTAATTAAATTACATAACGCGAACGAGGAGCCTTAAACGATCATATCGGAGCAGTTACTTTCGCGATTGTATCCTTCGTTAAAAGTAATGCTTTTATGGAGTACTTGCGTCGTTTCGTTGTTCGTTGGGATGAATATCTAATTAAAAACGTATAATGTTGAAAAATAAACGTGATAGAAAGAAAGGAAGGAAGGATGTGTAGCGTGCATTTTTCATGAGTGGCAAAGTGCCGCAGCGCCGACGTAATTAATCAGAGGAAACGAGAGTCCCTTTTGAATAACGAAACTGCAACGGTGCACTGCATCATCAACATACATAACAGGGGATTAGGGAAAAGATCAATCTGACTTATCCTTGGGAAGATCGAGGAAAATGTTTAAATTGAGTTACATTCGGCATTACGGGAATGGAAAATCATTTTAGACCCGACCGATATCGCGTTACAGTTTCAAACTTGGCAGATGTCACTCTCGCTGTACATGTATATATCATCATTTTGAGTGGATGAATTCATTTTGCGTTTTTTTTTTTTTTTCAAATTCACAGATAGATTTAAGGTGATTGATTCAATTATCCGACAGTCCCACGGCAGCGATCTTACGCCGAGACTGACAATCCATCATGCAAATTCGATCGCCGATCCGACTCGAAAAACCCCCCCGTCCGCCCCCTCGTCTCGTTATCCATCCATATTCATTAGCCCGCATCCGAACATCGGTGATGGCATTGGAATCGTATATACACGTGTTATACACGCGTATACGTACAAATGTGGGCGAAGCGTCCGTTTATCGGCGCAGGGCAGCGCGATTATTATGTAAATAGCCGAGGCTTATCGGAGGAGGTTGCCCCTCGCTCGTACACGAATTGTTAAGTCGAGTGGGCGCGTTGTTAGACCTATCGGTAATTAGATCCGAAGTTGCGCGCTCTGCTTATGGTTTTCACTCGAATGGGGTTCCTCTGGTCCGATTGACAGGGTCCCTTTGGTTTTTTCCCGTATGTGGGTCTTTTTACACGCCACGTAGCTGAAATGTTGAATTTGCAATGGATTTTGCGGTGTCGAGCCAAACGTGATGGGAATAAATGCACACGATCGTCAAGTACTCATTTTTTACATACGTAAGCGATGTTAAATTGAAACAATTTTAGCTCGTGGCTTCATAAATACTTGTCAGGTCATCGAAAAGTTATTTTTGTTAAAGAGTAAAAACACGAGTCATAGGTATGTGTATTTCGTGCGCATTTGAATTTAACGAAAATTCAGCTTAGTGCTTTCAAGTGGCACTTTGTCATTCTTGATTTCTAGTCCCCCGTAATGAAGTTATTTATGAGAGCGAGTTAACGGGGCGACGAGAAGCGTGACAGTTTGCGGGTCATGCATTTTGATCAGAGAGCACTAAACATCTTTCTAGACCCGAGAGTCTGGCTTTTAATCTGGTGGACCTAACGGTACGTGGATGGTCCTTCTTTTTTTTTTTCTTTTTTTTTTCTTTGTTTCCTTATTTTCTTGCAGCAATAATATTTTTACTTTTTAGAATTGCAACATGTTTACCTGTTTCGTCTATAAAGTGTGATGCTGTATATAAAAATATAAAACGTCATATCATATACACATTGTAAATAAAAAAAGGATCTATTGCCGTAAACGCACGGGTTACATTCGAGTAATAACAAAAATACATGTGCACCAGTAGCAGCAACAGCTGTGACAATCTGCTCGCGTCGTGTGATGAAAATAGTAAGCGCGTACCCTATTTCTCCCTCGGCACTCATAAAAACATAAAAATTTTCCAACGCGCGACAATGTGCGCGAGTCCGGGACCCCATCTGTTGCCCGCATAGATGCGCGTGAAATTTGGGTAGATGTGTAAAACATCTGGTCGAGGCGTTGTTCAGAAAAACAAGCGTAGTAGATCCTCGATTTTTATAATCTCGCTCGTGTGGTGGAGTACTACCTCTCACCTCCTGAGATTTTCCTCCTCGAGCACGCGCACCCCGTCGCCCTTATTATTTCCCCCATCCCCTTTCCTTTCGCACTGCCTCGCCTCGTCGAAACGATAAATCATCGTGACAGGTGCTTAGTTTTTCATCTCCCTTTTTTGTGTTTGTCACGTGTCGATAATAAATGTAGTTGGCGCGTATACATATTTTTATGTTTGTCTGCACAGTATATTGAAAATATTCACGAAAGCCAATGTATACACCTAGTTACTTTTTTTTGTTCTCTAAGCTTGTTTTTTATTTATTTTTTCGAGTAAAGAGTCGAAAGTTTGACGTTATCGACCTTTTCCCCGGCTAGTCGCGACCCTCGAGCGTAGTGTTTTCGATACTTGGAGAAAAGGCTCGAGTTCTTCAATAAACAAAAAATTTTTCATTCCGTCAGGCGTTTTTGACAAAAAAATTGAGTGCAAAATTTTTTCAAACACTAAGAAAAAGAAAAAGCTTCGAGTGCGGTCGAGGAAATAAAAACGAACCAACGAGACTCTCGAGTTAAAAGTACTTGCCAGTTCGAAAGGCTTTGCGAACGCATCCAATTTTAAATAATTACCTCTGTCCCTGTACCTTCCTCTTTCTCCTCTGCCTTCACTTGCCCATTCGTTGCAATTTGCGCGAACAATTTATAATTATTTCAGCAGTAACGGACACAAAGCATCGCATTCTTCCCTTCTGTCTCCCTCCTTCGCATTCTCGGCTTTTCCATCCATCGAACGCCGCGTTCGTTCCTCTCTTACGTGCAGGCTCGTGTAATTAAAGTGCTATTTGTAATTTAAATCCCGCCCAGTTTTTTCCCCCCTGCCCGTGTCATTACTCAATCGATCGTTTTTCCCGCGGTTCTTCTTCTTTTTCTTCGTTGTTTTTTTTCTCCTCCATCACTCGTAAAAGTAAGTGTACTTTTGTTTTCTCGCGCAATCGCAGAGGCACGCGGATGTAGATTGGATTTTCAAACAATTTTTACACCATTTCCTCGCCGACTCCCGAAACAGCATCTCTCTGCGGGCACGCGTACAATAAAAAAAACTCGCCACTGCAACTGCCTCGTGAAAGTTGGGTGTTACGTGGCTCGTGATTAATCGCGAAAGGGAATAAATGAGCGATGAAAGAACATTTTTCAAGAAGGTGAAATTCATGCGAAAAAACAGTCGGTCGGCTTTCGCTCTGAAACAAAGAAGAAAAAAAAAAAAAAAAAAAAAAAACACATTTTTTCGGAAATACTTTTACTTTCGTTCGTACCCATGAGCTAGAAAAAACTCGGAAGGACGTCACTCGTGGTATGAATTTACCTTTCCAAGTGACGGCCATCGCGTGAGTGAGGTGCACTTTTCGATGCATTGCGAGAGAAGGAAGAAGAGACGTTCGATCGCGATAATACTCTCGAGCGAGCTCTTTTGTAATTTCACGGTCTCCCGACTTACTCCCCGTTCCCATAGGAAAGTGACGGGGCTCGATCGCGTTTTCTGGAATTGCGCAAAAGCCAAAATTAATTGCACGCGCGTCCCTCCAGCCGCGCTCGCGATTGTTCTCGGTAAAATTCATGTAATTTCTCGGCCCAACGGAGAACAAACGTACACACGTCCCGAGTGTAACCGTAACTAACGCGTCTTTCGTCACGATGCGACATTACGAAAACGTCACGTCGAATAATGCAGTTGAATCGTGTATTATACTTTTAATTAAAAGCCCTCGCTGTCTCTCCGCAGGGCGATACAAAGAGAAACTTTACATCAGGAACTATTACGTTGTATTATTATGCTTCGCTTTTAATTAAAATCCATTGAGTTGTTGTTGTCCTTCCCATTCCAGAGCAAACGAACCCTCGTTGTGCATTTTAATTCAAACAGCAACAACAATGTTGTTCGCCCAGCAGATATAGCTTTTTTTTTTGTTTTTTTTTTGTTTTTTCGTGGGTTCCAAAAGTAATTCCAGCCACACGCCTACATGAAATAAAACAAAGCCGCATAATTGAAGGAAAAAATAAATTATTCGCGCCAAATACATTGCACATACGCACAGAAACACACAAGCTGTATGGTTGAACAGTGCGCGCGCGAGAGGAAATATATTGTACGGCACGCGCGCAGCATCAATAGAGACATTGTTCTCCATTAGGCTCCCAAAGTTGAGTGCTCGACGTTGGGTAAAGCTCCCAATTAATTTTAATGAATAAAAACACGGCCACTGTGTTTTCCATCCTCTCGCGCAAACACACACACACACACACACACACCCGCGTCCTTTGACCCTATAATCCTCGCACGCGCTCGCTTTCTTCTGGCGCGTTTTGTTTTAACGCCTCCTCTCTTTCCCTGAGAGCTCTTTTAGCTCGTCGACAATGCAACTTGCGTTGTACCTATATAATATACGTTAACAATAACACTCGTACCGTACATTATGGTTGAAGCCGTTTATGTAAGTGCCACTGCACGCGTCGCTCGAGTAAACTTATATTTCTGCTCGTGAGTGAGAGCGTTCGTGGGATACTTACACATTTGGTATACTTACGTATCTGGAGAAAAGAAAAGTTGGCCGGGGCTTGAAAACATGTTTGCGCGCGCGGAGGAGGAGAATAGGCGAAAAATAGCCAGAGTGTACTTTTCGCATTTTCTCTCCCTTTTCGCGTAATGCAAATCTCACCCCCTATTTGTCCTCTCAGAAAAACATAACTTTTGGGTATTCTGTAATCGCCCATAAGATTATGAAACTGCCAAATTGCATCGAATGGAATTTTTTCATTGAAAAATTGTCAAAGACATCTAAAAAACGTCACGTGTAAGCTCAATTATGTTAAGGACTTGAGTGAAATTTACTCGATTGTGTGACCAAGTGTTCTCCTCATTGCCGTGATTATTACAGTTTTGACAAACAAAAAACAACAGAGTAATTAAGGTTGAGAGCTCCACTTATACATCTTCATCCGTAATTTTTCACTTCCTACCCATTAACTGTGACGTACGCGTGAGAAATTCAGCGAGAGAAATTGCCGTGCAAATGATGTATTCAAACATCAAGTTTACGCGAAACTTCGCTTAGAAACCTTGTAGATTTCGCGTTTGAATTCCGTAGCCTCGCAAAGTCTCCTCTCCATGCCAAGCTTATGGCGCCTGTTGACATCGACAGTAATTGTACAACGCCCGTGACAAGAACTTTAATAGTTGTTACCCTAGTTTCAACCCCAAGAAACACGTGCATCATCAACCTGACCGTCGTTCTTTTACATCCACAGGTGTACAAGAAGAAGACCGAGGCCGCGAAGAAAGAGTACTTGAAGGCGTTGGCTGCCTACCGAGCCAGCCTCGTTCAAAAAGGCCACGACGAGCAGGTGCAGCATCATCAGCAGCAACAGGTCCACCAGCAGCAACAGGCTGCGGCCGCGGCCGCGGCGCATCAACAGCAGCAGCAACAACAAGCCGTTGCGGCTCAGCAGCAAGCGGCAGCTGCTGCAGCTCAACACCAACACCAACAGCAGCAACAACAACAGCAACAACAACAACAACAGCAACAACAAGCGGCTGCTGCTGCGGCGGCGGCTGCCCAGCAACAGGTGCAGTACGGTGGCTACGGCACGCCCTACGGGGCGCCTACGACGAACCCCGTCGTCTCGGCGTACCACCCGAACGCCCAGCAGGTCTACAGCCCTCAGCCACCCTCGCCTCAGCAGCAACAGCAGCAAATGGTCGCCAAGAGGTCGCCGCATCTATCGCCCAGCTCGCACATGCAGCCGAACCAGCATCAGCAGGTGAGCGCGCGAAACCGTACTTTTGCGATTTTGAGGAAGAAGAAGCTATGCAGAGCCGCGTGGGTTCTCGGTGGGAGGGAGGGAGTTGGAAAAGTTAGATTGGAAAACTTTGTATATAGACTGTAATAAATGACTCTTGCTACCTCCCACCCCGCGCCTTAACTTTTTCCCCCTTGTTTTGCAAGTTTTTACAAGAGTTTATGCGCGATTGAGTATTACTCTGCTACTGCAAGAGTTTTGCGTTTTATCACAGTGTTTGTAAACTGAGCGTCAGAGAAGAAGGGACGTCGATCGCGATCATTGAGTTACAAGTACTTGTATGTGAACCATAATTTCACAAGTTATCGGTAATTGATCGATTACTAGCGGCTGTCGACGCTTTTTTTTCATCGGGCAATACTTGCGACGCTTGGTAGTATATACGAGTAATTAATACAGGAGGTATAGGTGGTAATACCGAGCGCGCATATATAAAGGGATGAAGTCACTTTGTAATGACAGTTATTAAAGTCCGGGTGATACAACGCGAGAGTTATTTCTCTTGATCTCTACAGAGAATAAAATTTTCCAGACTATTAATTTCAAGTGTGGAACCCGAGGCTCACGTAAATTAGTATAACAGATCACAAATACACCTATACTGCACGAGCATCTTCCACTGTGCATTCGTGTACGTGTAATTGCAGTACTTATTTTACTAGGAAATAGATTGCGAGAGCTTATACGAGCCGGATTGAATTGCCAATTAGCGCGTGTAAATAGTAATTTACGGAGAACTTCATCAAACTCACCGGCTGTTGTTTTTGTTGCCCAAACAACACGTACCTATACACACGTCCAACGAAACTTTGAGATTGTACGTACTTTGCCGATGGAGCGTAAATAGATTAAAGTTTTGGAGCTGTTTTATTCCGAGGACACTCTTTCGGTTAAATATATTGCCGTCACTAACGAATTAGTCGATTAATTTGGCGTGTCGAGCTCCGAGATCGGGTGCTCGAACTATTTTGAAGCTTCAATTAAAGTTTAATTGACTTCTTTGATTAAATTGTCCTTGATTCAATTTTCATCGAGCTTAATTGAATTTCGATCAAAATTTATGCGAATTCTTCCTCATTATCGCCGTCCACGTCAAAACCAATTTAATTTCACGCGAACCTCGATAAATCGCCAATTCATAAACATATTGCGAAACTTTGAGCTCTTTATGGAAACTTCAACGCTGTTACTTTGATTAAAAAACTCACTCTTTATGCTTCTTTTGATACTTGCTTAAATTTTCTAATGGTCGATTGCTGTCAATCTTCTATTGAATTTTTTTTCACTGAACGTTTCAATAAAACTGTCGAGTCATCGTTACGGAAAACTTACATATATCAGCAGCTCTTGAGTTCACCGTCAGGCACAAAGGAAATGCTAAGTCACAAAGTTGAAAATTAAAGAAAAAAAAACTTACCTCGATTTCTCGTGTAAGTAGACTTTTTTTTGTCGTTGTACAACATTATAGAAAGGCATCGATATCTCCGCATGCTTTTGCAATTGGAAATTAATACGGTAGGTAAATTTATATTCCAGTGAAAAGAAAAAAAAAAATTGCACCTTGCAGAGAAAGAAAGAGAGATATAATCTGTCGGAGGAGAGAAGTCTCTTGAATAGCTCGTATAACTTTAGACATCTCTTGCACAATGTTTCGTAACACGAGATCGAGATATACGGTGAAATACTTATGTAAACAACGTTTTCAAATACATTTGTTGCTATCCTTTTATCTTTTCATTTCAAACAAATTTATTCATTTTTGTTTAAAGCCTTTCATGACATGAAAACGCATCTATATATATCTCGCAGGGACCGTGGACTATCTGAAAATAACTCGTAGCCATTATTTGACGTGTCTAAGTTGTCGAAGCGACGAAAAGCCGTAACTTACCTCAACTAAACGACCAATTCTATCGTGCACTCACTTACAAACCATTGAGATTTGCTTACCTTGTCACTTTGTTACGTATCACGCGACTTGCATTCAAATGTAAATATCCAACACACGAGACCGAAAAAAACCTCTGCCTCGCTTCTTCTAATGACCGGAGTAGGTACGAGTAAAAAGAATTTTTTTTTGTCGAACGAAATGAAATGAATTCTAATTGAAACGTTTGAATTTCCAGAGTCTGATGGGCAACCCCATGGCACCACCTCCTCACATGACGCAGCAACACATGCAGCCGCAAGTTTCACAGCAACAGTACATGCAGCAGGTCAGTGAACCCTCTTCTTCGTCTTCTTCGTGCCGTGTAGGTACATTATACGCGCAGCGGAGTATAGAAAATCCGGGTAGGAGGGAACCTTACAGCTGTGCGCACGCGCGCGTCTTCGTCCTTCTCGTCGTTGCCATCCGTCCGTCGTCGTCGTTTCTCGCCGTCTCTTCGTCCATGAGAGAATATATCCATCTGCTCGGCTTCCTGATGCGCCGTATACCTCGCTCTCTTTTCTTCTCTTCGCTTCGCTTCGCACGCACTACAACGCCCAAATCGCGCTCCTCTCTTTTCGACACATCTTTGGAGGCTTGTTTTAATCACCGACGTTACTTCATTGAGTGTTTTTTTTGTGATATCAAAGTAGTTTTTTTTTGGTCGCTTGCCGTGCGTAAGGAGAGACGATTAATGTCGGTTTTCAAGGTCTGTTGCTTATCCATTCGTTGTACTCTCTCGAGCGTGTCTACTTTTTGGGTTAGGATTTTGAATTTTAACGGCCGAAAGAGGCGTTCGGAGAGCACTGAGGCTGCTTCTACATGGAATCTTGAACTTCCAGGACCAGCCCATAAGCCCGTGTGAGTGCGAGTGAGAAGCAAGAATATATTACTCTCTTTCTCGCACTCACAAGGGCTTATGGGCTGGTCCTGGATGTTCAAGACTCCATGTATACGCAGCCTTTGTGGGGACGATTTTTTCCTGCCCACTCTATTGCGCTCCATGGGACTAACTGCGAGAACTTCATATATTATCCAACATGATTCCCTCGACGCTCGAGAATCACCGTGACTTAGCCATACGGGAGTGGGGGCTGAATGACCGAGTACAATAGAAATCCTCAATATCTGCCTTTTATCTGGGGACACGTTCGAAAATTACCGTTCGTCATCCGGGATCGTTCGTTCCACAAATTGCAAGGAAACTGTTACTGGATGAAGATCCAGTACTCTGTTGTTTCCACAACCCATTAAATTTACTTAACATTATTGAAACTAACGGTACTTTTCGAACGCGTCCAAAGTTTTTAATTTACAACATAATTATACTCATTTGGAAAGTTTTAATTGATAAATCTGACCTTATCCTGCAGCTTGTACTCAACTTGAAGTATAACTTTACGGAAATGGCAAAAGCACGACATCGGTTGAACAGCTACTAGGGTTCCCGGTACTCTGAATCTTAACAGAGCCTTCTGACTTTTTGAGGAGTGTCTGCAAGTTGTCGCAGTGCTACAAGCGCACGTATTGATTAATAATTACGCACTGCTGATTCTTTTATCGGGCCATAAAAGCACACGAGAATCCATTAGAAAATTAGGTTCCTGCTGCGTGCCTAAGAGAATACGACCTGTAGTGTATTACAAGCAGACGCGCAATGGAAAAAATTTGAGAAACGAGTGCTTATCGAAATTTATATGAAAAAATCATACTAAACATCAAACAGTATAACCATTGAGTAGAAGCAGCTTTGTACTGCATTGTACAGTCCAATACTTTTTTTCATTTCACATTATTAAAATCGTTTCTTTTCCGCGAATGGAAAATGTACATCTCGCTTTCAAATGTCCATTTGCTCGACTTGTAACTTTCTAACACATTTGGATTGTACTTGCGTACATGTACACACACGGTTTCAGTATAATTTTCATTTTCACCCTCAACACTTAACTGCGACGTTTTTCGCTAATTGCTCGCAAAAGTTTAAGCGCAAGTGCCCGATACCTGTTAACCCTCTATATACAACGCTTTCCTTCTTATTTCGATGCGCACGGGTGCACGCTTTAATCAGTACTTACGGGTAGTTTCTCTTTTGTTTCTTTTTCAATTTCGTACGTGGATTATATACGTGGGAGAGTACGCGGTGATTACACTGCTATGAATTTCTGATGAAAGTTTCCTCATAGTGGTAATTTTGAAAAATCTCCTTTTCTTGAACGATCCACACTGTTGTCCCTGAGGACGAATGCACTGCGTCACAACTATCCGCGCGTAATTTGATGCGTATAGCTATCGAGTATGATTTTAGGAAAGCTTTTGCACCCTCGGACACGTATAATTAATGTGTATCATTTATTTTTGTTTAGGTACCGCAGCAGCAGGTGCCAGTCCAGCAGCAACAGCAGCAGCAGATAATGCACATGAGTCCACCGCGAGGCAACGACTCGCTCTCGAGTCCACCTCCCGTTACCAATTCGCAGGCAGCCGCTGTAGCCGCGGCGACGATGGCCCAACAACAGCAGCAGCAGCAGCAGCAGCAGTCGGCTAATATTTGCATTCGCCACGGATGCCCCAATCCCGCCATCTCCAATACCGAGTGGGAGGACGAGTACTGCAGCAACGAGTGCGTCGTTAGCCATTGCAGGTGTGTATACATTTTTTTTCTGCGTTTAAAATTACGATTGAACCCCACTTCGTTTTGGATGGTGATTTAATGGATGATGAATTTTTGCTTCGCAGGGATGTTTTTCATAATTGGGTACCGACAAATCAGAATCCACAGCAAAACTTCTCAACAGTCAAGTAAAGACGTTAAGACGGCTAGCGAGGGAAAATGTATACCGAAACACTGAAGATTGTAATGAAAGATGATGATTTATTATGCACGAATAATGAAGGAAAAAAATCCACATGAATCGGGCTTTCGACGATTAATGCGACATGGTGAATAATAAAAATAATAATAATTATAATAAAAATAATTATAATGATAATAGAAAGAAAAATAATAATGATAAGATAGATGCCGTCGTCGACTGAGATACATGAGACAAATTAAGATTTATTTGGTATGTACATAGAGAAAGAGGAAAGAAGTTGTAGAAGAGGGGTTTGATTTTTTTTTCCTTTTTACTGGGAACGCAATTAAAACTCGTACCCTGGACTGAAATGCATCGTTGAGCAATGGAAGCGCGTTATATGAAAAAAAGTTAATAACTTTGTCAGCTTTTCTCGAAACAAGTACAAACAGTACGAGAAAAGTGTTTTAGTTTTCAATGTTTTCTTTTTGTTAACGTGAAAGTAAAAGAAGGGAGAAGGACAGTTACGAGATAAGATGTGAAACGACACGGACGAGAGAGATAGAGAATACGCATTATTAACTTTAGTCAAAACGACAATTTCTCATTTATATCGATTTGATACGAAAGGTGCGAACGAGGTGTCGTTATAGTTTTTAATCCGTAGATTAAATGTAAAATGAGAACATGTAGTAAACAGGAGATGCAAAAAGAGTTGAGATCCGAAAAATAGAGAGAAAGAAAAGGAAAGAAAGAGAGAGAGAGAGAGAGTGGCTTGAACAGTTTTGTTATTTTGTTGAACAAAACTTAAAGCGAGAAGCGTTGAAAATTCTATGTAAATAGGCAAAGTGGGCCGCACATGGGCCGGAAGCTCAGTAACTCTTTTGAAAGTGATGGATAAGATTAAAAAAACGAGTGAACCTTTAGCGACACACAATTTGTTTGTATCGTGCGTTCTCAAGCGAAGTAGTTAGGAATGCGAATCTAACAAAGATAAAAAATAATAAGAAATAAAAAAAAATATTACGAATAGTCTCGGTGTGGACGCAGGCATCCGTCTATATGATCGAAAAATATATAGTTATAAACAAAGAGATTGAGCAGTATAAATTTTGTTCGATTTAATGTTGATCACAAAATTTTGAAGAAATATGTTTGTTCGGGATTTTGGATCTATTTATTTATTTATTGACATCGAGTGAATACTTTTCTTTCACGAAATATATTTAAATTTTTCTCTTATTTGGATCATTAATAAATTAATAGAAGAAATAAACAAAAAAAACGAATACATTGTATAACGATGAAAAAAAAAATTAAATTAAACAAAAGGACACAAATTAACGATAGATGTTAAACTTGAGGTCGATCAATGGATAAACATGTTCCTGACTGCTCTCGCCGCTCCCAACAGTGGCTCTTACAGGGGGGCTAATATATATAAACTTATATAGACACGTATATATATATATATATTTGTGTGAAGATGAAGGTAAAATAAAAAGTCGTGTAAAATAATTAATATTCCAGGCAAACAAGCGCCAACTCAGATTCCCTATCCTTGCGACCGCGTATTTTCTTCGTAAGGTTGTGTTGTTAGATCATCACTATCTCTCTCTTTTGGAAAGTGATTATTTTTCTGTAAAGGTATTACATAGTGTGCGTTTCCACAAGCTGCGCGCATGTGATGAGTTATCTTATGAATGCTTGAAGTGCCGAATAAACGACTTCTTTTTTTTTTTGTATTACTATTATTTTTAATTATCCATATTATTTTAATGAATTTTTTAAATTGTAATGTTCAATCGACCTGATAATTTCGTTGCCAGTTCCTGAGTGCCAATGACTGTTCATTTTTGTTCACGTTTATGGATTTAATTTAGTGATGGCTCCAACATTTCCAAGACATTGATATATTTATAAATTTTGGCACATGAATATTTTTAAATATCATTTTTGTTTCAAATTTAATATAAAAATATTGTTTTACCTATATTTTACTGTAATGATCGTTATGTCAATCAACGTAACAGGTCGAAAGAGATAAATAAAAATATTGGCGTTTTTATTTTTAGTATTTTTACTAGTTTACTGTGCGTATTTTTTTGTTATTATACCAAGAGATGAGTGAAACAGTGTTTTTTTTTTAAATTGTAATACGACACTCGCGCGTACGTAACGCTGATTCTCTTGTCTTTTAAATTATTAAGTTTCTTAATGAAAATAAAATTTTTACATTTTTGCCCCTCTACTTTTTTTGTATATACATAAAAAAAATATTTTATAGACCTAAGAAACAGAATATAGTCGATAACTATTACTGTATAATACTATTATTATATAAAAAAATGGAGTTCAGCAAATTTGCTTGAGCACAATCAAATTAAAAAATGGTATTATTTGAATCCTCTTATAAAAACCTTGTTCTCTTGTTATGGTAAAATAATTTTTCTATGATCTAGCAAGCAAATTTCGCAGAGCTCTCATGAAGTGTCCAATCGAACATCGCGACTGGCAAGTATATATTATTGATTATTGGATACAGACTTGACGGAAAACGTTAAATATAAGTGGAAAAAAAAATTTAAGACTCCGAAAAGAAACAAAATCCCGTTTTTGATGACAATTATCTATTATAAATGCTGCAGATGTTTCAACGCTGAAAAAACGGTTTATACCGAGTTTTAAGGAGAGAACGACGACAGAGCAAGGGAAAGATGAAAAATAAAATTGTTCACATGACCTTGCAAGGCTCCTTTGTTTTTTTCGTATAATGTACGCGCGCGTGTCTTTGGATATTATATGCATGACGTTGGATGCAAAAACTCCGACGAAAAAGCGATGATAATGCAGAGGAAAAGCCGATTAGCGCGACAACAATTATACGTGCATTCTTTAAGGATATACACATACGATAGAGGATGTAAAAACAAAAAAAAAAAGAAACAAACAAACAAGTAAATCTAGCAAGTATCAAACATATATTAGTAGCACTATCACTACACATCCAAAAGCTAAATATATGATGGTGATTTGCAATGATTTGAGTTCGTTTTTATTGTTTTCTGTACAAAGACTTCAAAAATATAATTAAACGATTTCAGTCTCAATATTCTGAGTTTATTTATTTTGTAACACTCCAAACCTTTTCGTACCAGGGCCAGAAAGTGGAGCTATATCACTGACCGCGTTGGATTACCATCTTAGCCAAAGGCGAGATTTAAAAAATTAATCATGGAAATTTTTACCTACAATGAATGGACACCATCGTTTTAAGATCTTTAAGATTAAAACGAAAAAATTGTTTATACGTAAAAATCCTGCAAGCTTCAATACCAGCATCTCATAAGTATATTTTGGTAGCTTACGTTTACAAAATAACTCAATTTATTAAGCGACTCGGAGCAATCACATCGGAGTTACCACAAGCTCACTCGCCAGCACCCATTCTTCAAGTACTTAATTCCGAGTTGATTCATGAAAGAAAGCGCTTTGATTGGCAGAAACAGTAAGTAATAACTCCAGTGGGTTTGATAAGGTTCGTTTCGATACTAGATCGTAATCTTTGATTGATCAATAAACTAGGCGGGCTATGGCATATGTATCCTTGTGAGATCACAACTCGGAGCGAGAACGGGTGTTCGCACAAGATCTCGAGTTAACTCCCATCTAATCGGAGTCGTTTCGAGAAAGACAATGAGTTTACGGTGGAAGATTCATCTGTAGAAACAAAATTTTACGTTTTTGCTACGTGAAGTGCCATTGTAAATCTACTCGATCTAAAGTATTTTGGAATCCGCGTGAGAATATACTTTCATACGACATTCCGACGTATTAGCACAATCGATATCGCTATCCTTATACATTGTGGTGAACATTAAATTTGAAGCTCACAGAGTAAACTTTTGCGTTTCAATCATGAAGAAAGTAAGTTAGTTGTAGCCAGAAACTTGGTAAGATTTTGTAGCCTTTGCTGACTTGGCAGTTTGCAGTTTTGTAGATTTGGTTATAAAATATATTCTAGGAGCTTTTTCTTTTTTTTTTTTTTGTTATTAGGTCTGGAGGTGGATTCGTTCGATATTTTTGTGTCTTTACTGATATTTCTTCAAAGCTGTGTTCAAGAAGTGATTAGGTGTGACAACGTCGTTGATGGTTTCGGTGGAGCTCTTCCGGAGGAATTTTTTAATAATAAGATGTTAGCTCTCGATATTGACCTTATGGAAGTGACATGGATAAACTTTTTAATAGCGAAAAAGCAACATAAAGCTCATCTTCTTGTTGAGGGATTTGATAACAGTGCCAAATATCTTGCTAATTGGTGAACGAGATTCCTTGCTGACTTTTGGGCCGTCATTTTCGAGGACAACATTTGTCTAACTATACTGCTCAAGTTTACCTTAGTTCAAAAGAAAAAAAAATTATTAGTGTAGGTAAGTTAGTGATTCCTAGAGTGTCACTATATTATAACGTATGCAATAAACATAAAATGGGACCAGTGGTACTTCTTTTCGCTCTCAGGATCATCCACGGATACTTATTTATGTCACTCGCACGATCGCCTTTTCATCGCAGCGCAAGTGGTAGCAACTAAATCAGGGGCCCTATCCTCCGAGCGTGTTGATCATCGTAGGAATCATTACTCTAAACAAATAAACCGTATTATTCTAAAAACAAAAATTACTAGTAAGATGTATATTTAATAAAACGCTACATTGAATCAAGAAAGATCAATTTTTAGCATGAAAATCGGTTAAGTGTAAGCGTTGAAGTTAAAACTAGTCACAAATGATGAAAGTCGCATTTTATCGGTTTTTATAGGTTCTTCACGATAAAACGTTTCCAGAACGTCTCGAATGAAACATCGAGTCACTAAGCGTATTAGGAAAGCATAACGATGGTGGAGGTGCACGGCCATCACGCAGAAGAGGAAGTAACGTTTCTGATACTTTTTTTTTCTCTCGCACGATAAATTTTATATACTTAAATATCGCATTAACTTTCAAACTATATATCTTATTTAATTACAATTCTATTATTTATAAACATTTGTACAATCAACACAAAGCATTCAAAAGAGCTTCTATATCAGTCTTTATGCTTACAATATCCTATGGTCAGCTTTATCGGTTTCTATCGTAATTCCACACGTGCAAATTGACACTTGGTTTATTGTTTTTTTTTTTAAAGCGGTTGAAACATGACTTGAGAAATTTTTTATTCTTTCATAAATGTTGATAATCATTTCTTGTGTATTGAGCGGTCACCCATCCAAGTATTAACCGTGCCAAATACAGCTTAATCTCGGAGATCGACGGAACTGCAACTCTTCCGTTGCGCCACCGCGACCACTATATTTAAAGCGGGTTTTTTTTTATTTTTTTTTTTTTTTTATTAATGCTTTCTCTGATTTACTACAAAATCAATATAGCTATTACCACTAAGGGCTCACAAAGAGATGTTATAACATATCACAATAAAATAAAAACAATACATTATCATAGGTAATTTTAAATGGACAGATTGTTCCCTTTGAGAAAATCACACATTATTATCGCACGCTTTTACATTCGGTTGTTTAACAATGTTCTCCGCAGAGTACAAAGCCGTAAGTCCAATACTTAAGTCTTCTCAAGGACTTGGTTCTTTTTAGAGCATAAACAGGGCAGCCTCAAAGAAACCAATTCTTTGCAGTGATTCACCTAAATTATAGTGATTTACTCTCACTCGATTGACAGTAGTAACAACATAACGATCAATTATTAGTCTGTGATACCAGGGTTTAATTTGTTGCTGGTAATATTTTTGAAAATAGAGATTGCCTTTAAATTGCGACTGCCCTGTTGTACTATTTCTAGTGCTGTTAATCATTTTCTTATAATAAAATTCTCTAGAGTCTGTATACGGGACTTTTAACAAAGGAGAAGAAATACATTTAGTAGCCTGTTTGGCTAGCATATCCGCTTTTCATTGCCACGTAAGCCTATATGCGCAGGTATCCAGCAAAGTTTCTGGGTCTGTTAATAAATAATTGTAAATCTTTTCTTTGATAATGTAAACAAACGGTTTAACTGTGATATTGGAAGATCCAAGCGCTTCCAGGGTACTGCGAGAGTCTGACGGTATGAGCGAACGCGAGATCTCATTTTCTATAATAAAATTTAGTGCTCCATCAATGGCTACACATTCACCCGTAAAGACAGAGGCTCTCACATCTAGGGCTCGAGTGCTAGAGTGTGAGAGAGGCGCACAATAAACCGAACTACCAGTGCTAATATTGAATTTTGCTACTGTCTGTAAAAACAGGACAGTAGCCATGCCGATTAACATAGTCATCTAGCACAACGTTTGGGACTACTGAGTTTTGCAGTTCCCTGCCCAATTCAAGGTCAATCTGAGGAATGAAAAGAAGTTGATACCGCCTATTTTATTCCTCATCGTTTTATTGTCCGTTAGGAAGCGAAGAGTCTCCATTGAATCAACTACTTGCCCCATGTACTGTTTATCAAGTACTTCATCCGGCAGCATATCATCAAGCGTAGAGGAGTTCATGATTAGATTTATGAGGAAGTCAAAGCTGACCTTGTTGTTTATTTCACTGGCTTGATAAGCGTCTGCAAGTTTCTTATAATCAGCCTGTGTAGTTCCGGTGAGAGCATCTTGTTTGGGTTCAAGTTCAGTCAAATTGTCACCAATGACTCTCCTAACCTTGCCAGTCTGAAGCTTGACCTTTTCCTCCAAGCGTTATTCCATAAAAGAGCTCAATGAGGAATCACTTTGTCTTGTCCTCTTCATTGTAGGAGCAGCAAAAATGTGTGATGGAGAAGTATCAGTAACTTCTAACCCGATAGTTAAACACCACCAAACTGTCACACGTCTATAGTTTGCCTGTTTGCCTCCGCGCGCCCGGCTCTCTCATTTAAAGCGAGTGGTACTGAGGTTGCTTTGTAACGCTAAGCACATCAGGAAAACATGACATCGCAGGAGCTCATCCTCAATATAATAATCTTTTCGACACACTCTTGTTCGTTGTTTACATAACTTTGTCACTTCATTGATGAGTTTCAACAAAAGTTAATGTACTTATATCAACGTATAATTTTAACAGATCAATTATTTTCAATACTATATTTTACCATACCGTAATATGTACTGAAATAGTATATTTTTAACAAATTTTGAATCGATTTCTATGCTCACTTTCCGCATTCAAAGTCAAAATGTGCTCCGGGATACCCAAATATACCAAGAGAACACGAATTGAAGAGGTTTTTCGTGCTTATAAGAAAAATATTTCACACAAAATAACTTGGTTGAAAGAAAAAAAAAAAAAATTGAGCAACATTCATTTACTTAATCATAAATTTTCACCTAAATTGATAAATGATTAATATTTATCAACCATAATTTTTTAGACTTCGTATATTATACATGTACATAACTTGACTGCAGCTCAATCGTTTTCTATCGGTTTCTGTTGTACATTTGGTATGTATATAACGAAATGTCACCAGAAATTCCCAGTTGAAACATCGAAGTTTTACACGTATCAGAGAAATATGAATCGAGAAGAGTTTTGTCAGACTTTTGTTCAATTCCCTTGTAACATTGATTTCATATTTAGACATGAAAATTATAAAAATAATATTTTCAGAGTATTCCGGCCCGAGGCACATGTGTTGTAACATGCTCGTTTCTATCGGTTTCTATGAAATATTCCCGCATTGAGAGTGACTTCATCGTTTTTTTATGCAGCGAAAGGTCAAGACCCAAGTATAGCTTTGGTGCATGAGAAAGTGAACAAAATATGTAAGGACAGGGGAGCACCCAATCTTGACCAGTTTTTTTAGCAGAATATCAATGACTACATTGTCAAACTTCGTCGTCGTCGTCGTCGTCCGCGATGCCAACACTTTATATGTATCAGGGCAACACAACTTGGCAGTTGGTCGCGAGAGCGAGTACAGCAAGCAGAATAGTTGAATCAGTTTCAATGAGGATTTTTCGTATACGAAGGCTTGAATGTTTTGTCAAATCGTCCATTGACGCAGGAGATCAGAACATGGAAGGAAGTTGTTTGAGTGGAGCATTTCATTTTTCATTCAATGTACAA